ATATAAATCAAAGGAGAATAGCTCGGGTGTATGGTTAAAACTATAAACAAATTTATATTTATTTATATCTATATAATTATAAATAATAAACTTTATTATATGTGCTATCTCCTCTGTATTTATATTTATATTTTTATTTATATTTATATTTATATTTTTGTTTTTTTTCTTCTCTATTTTGTCTCCTTTTATTAATACCAAATTGTGGGTCTCCTTCAGCTCACTAAAAAAGGAGACACGCACCAGAGGAGACGCTGCAGCACCCAACTACACAAAAGGAGACAAAAAACACAGCAGCAACAAAACAAATAAAATAAAATAAAATAAAAAAGGAAAGACAAAGAGAGACAGAGACACAGCAGCAGCACCCATCTATACAAAAGGAGACAAAAGAAACAGCAGCAGCAAAACAAATAAAATAAAATAAAATAAAAAAGAAAAAACAAAGACAAAGACACAGAGACGCTGCAGCAGCACCCATGTATACAAAAGGAGACAAAAGACACAGCAGCAGCGAAACAAATAAAATGAAAAAGAAAAGAGACAGATACACTGCAGCAACAAAACAAATAAAAAAGAAGAAACAGAGAGCCACTGCAGCAACAAAGGAATATAGAAGAAAGGAGACAGAGAGACAGATTTATCTCCTTTTTAATTGGGGTGTATATACAGACAGATACCAAAAAAAGAAAAAAAAAAAAAAAAAAAAAAAAAAAAAAAAAAAAAAAANAAAAAAAAAAATAAATAAATATATTTATGTTTACTTGTTTGTACTCTTCTAGACTGGTGAGGAGACAAAAATTTTGCTGAAATTGCAAAAACAAAATTTCGTAAGAAGAGGGACCCCGGGGCAGAGGGACAATAAAAACAGGAGAGTTGCGGGCACTGAGGAGACAAAAGGAGACAAATAGAGATATAAATAGATAAAAATAGAGATAAAAGGAGATAGAGGAGACAGAGGGAGACAGAAGGAGAGAGAAGGAGAGAGAAGGAAAGAAAAAGAGAGAAAAGAGAGAAAAAGAGAGGCAGAGGGACAATAGAAACAGGAGAATTGCGGGCACTGAGAAGGAGACAAAAGGAGACAAAGAGAGATAAATATAGATAAATACAGATAAATGGAGATAAATAGGGATAAAAGGAGACAAATAGAGGAGACAGAAGGAGATGGAGGAGACAGAAGGAAACAGAGGAGACAGAAGGAGAGAGAAGCAGAGAGAAAGAGAAAGAGAAAGAGGATAAATAAAGACTAAAAGAGACATAAGGATGCAAACTGAAACAAAAGGAGACAGCAACCACCGGCTCAGCTGTACAGACACCACAAACTAGAGGTGAGGGGGCCCCCTGGGGGGGGCCCCCTGCTGGGGGCCCCCCAATAAAAAGAAATAAAAAA